TTTTGAATCAGCAGATGGGAAGGAGGAAAAATCGACGGAATAAGGTTTCCTTTACATTCCTTCTTCACCTTCACAAATGCTCTTTTTTTTTGAAAACAAGAAGAAGAAAAAAAGCATATGCTAATTTCTGGCTGCAGACATTGCATCTGTCGGTCGGGGCTTCGAGATAAGGAGCGCAAGATTATCCCCAAAAAAAAAAAAAAAAAAAAAAAAAAAAAAAAAAAAAAAAAAAAAAAAAAAAAAAAAAAGAAAAGACAGAGGGAAAGAGGGCGATGCACACAAGGCACGTCTCCAGCGATAGACTTTCAGACAAATGAATGTGACACGATTTACTCGAAAATTCTTCACAATTTCACTAACTCGCACAGGACAAAAGGCGTCGCTCCATTACTCGCCAGAAACTGCAAAACTGATAAATGTATCATACTGTAGAACGTGGCAAGATGCATTCATCAGTTTTGTAATCAGGGATTGGTGGAACAAGGCTCAAAGACTTGCTTTATGACTCAGTTCTCTGAGTCTTTTCTTTCTTTTTCTTTTTTTTTTCCCAATGGACCACAGATCAGACAATAAACTGATCAGAACAGATACTACACTTTATCTTATTAGCCAAAAGGCTTTTTAATAAAGTTTTTATCGTTTGTCAACGTCAATTATTCACATCGCTTGGGAAGCAACCTCGATCCTCTTTGCACACACATGCCAACACGCGCACATCCTGAAAGTCCAGCGAAACAGTCCATCACAGTCATGCTTTTTATTTTTTTGTGGAGGCGTGTGTAGTGAAAACCACAACACACACACACACACACACACACACACACACACACACACACACACACACACACACACACACACACACACACACACACACATACGTGCAAAAAGTAACATGCAATAGAAAAGGGGTATACGGACAAAGCTTCGTTCTTTGATTGCCTTTCAACAGTGCTCATCCAAGCATCGATCTTTCGGTCACAATTAGAATTAGAAAAGCAAGAAAGGTGTCTCTAGGCAAATTCACACAAGGGGGGCAACTGCGGAACTTTCAGACGAAATGGGGCAACAATTATCGCCATCAGATACATCCAGGAAACGGAAACGATAGGGATATAGTAATATACCCTTCACCAATCCTAATACTGAACTGTTGACGAGACCCTCAACAGTCCTAAGTCCCCCATCAATCATTTCTCTGTCTCTCTCCCGCTCCAAAAGAAAATCGAACACAAGGCTATATCCTCAACCACCCTAGTTTCTAAAGCTATGCAGAGCAGGACCCTCGCGGCGCCACTTGCCACAAATCTGACAAGTGACGAGTGTCTCTCTCCGTTAAAGCGCAAGTACACGGCCGAGCCAACTTAAAAATAAAACTCATTGCTCATTCCAAAAATTTTGGAGGCTCGGGGCTATACCGGACCACAATGGCTGGCGGCGCCGGCCCAAAAAGAAACGACATGCGCCGCTCGCAGTTCGCCAAAGTTCGGAGTGCAGTGCGAGTCCGCCAAGCTCGGGTATACATGCGGCTTAATCCACCAGTACGTCGTGGGCCTGGCGCCACCACCGCCGCCGCCAGTACACGCAGAGGCCACGGTCAGTTTGGGCTACCTACCGGGAGGAAAGGGGGGTCATACGGGAGGGGTGCACACAACTTCCGGGGGCCCAACTTTGGAAGCAATTTTTAATTCTCATCTATTTCTCTAAACAAAACGTACGAAAAGAAATAATGGACGTAAGGTAGCTTCCGCTGTGTTAAGAATCAACCGGTATTTCATTGCCTGCGAAAAAAAAAAAGAAAACGACGACGCAAACCAAGTGCATATGGTTGCCGTTACTCACTGTGACCCGGTGGGCTTGACCATTCCAGCTGGGAAGGCCAGGGTCAGTGTAAAATCCGGTTCGGCAAAACAGGCTTGGCTGAACCAGCGGTTCACAAGTGGACGGAAACACTCACCAGTTTTCAGACTTGGCCAGTGGTGCAGCAAGACCCTTACCCTGATCTTGTACAGCCAAGAACCCTTCACATTCTGAAACCCTATGATTTCATCTCACCTCTCCTCTCCTTATTTCCAAGGTAGTACAGCAAGTGGATGGCTCAAATTTCAGTCCCTAATTCCTCACAACTTTTTCCTTTACCCTTCCTCCCTCTCCCTCCCTCCCTCCCTCCCTCCCTCCCTCCCTCCCTCCATCCATCCATCCACCCATCCATCCGCTCGTCCCTCCCT